TATATATATATATAATTTTTAATTTTCATATCTAACATTCTTATTTTAGGATTTCGTTCAACACATGCCTATAACCCACCATTATCCCCTACGGGTAACAATGTTTGAGCTTATTAGACAGTCAAATGAATAGCTGCGTTTAGGGTACAGAATCTTGATGAGATAAGAGGACACAGGAGAAAATGATAACAAAATTTCCTGGAAGACACACAAAAAAGACCCAAAATTTTGGTCCACCACTGCAGAAATACTTTTTTTGTGCCCTTGCGGGGCAAGAGAGCCAAAACTGCATGCGAGAATCTGGTAATAGAAGAACCCGTGAACAAGGGCATGGGCCCGCTTGGGAGGGTTTTGCTATTCTCTCTGCATGCAAAACACGGGAAAAAATTGAAAAAATAAAAAAGAAGAAGAAGAAAGAATATCGTAGTCTTGTAGTAAAATCAGAATCAGAAATTGCATTGGCAAGTGAAAGACTATAATTAGATGGCTATCATAACTCTGCATGAGTACTTGAATATCTAGAAAACGTAAAATAGTTTATTTGTTGGTTGGGATTGGCCAATGGCCATGAGCATGTACACATCCCAAATTGGTGGGATCTTTTGCTCTTGAGACCAAACACAAACTTTGAATTAGTCTTAATTGGTTTGTTACTGGGCATTAATTTTTTTAGGTTCTTGTAGTCAAGACTTAGAATCGAATCTTACATTCAATAAAGTTAGGTTGCAAAAGACTACCAGACTGATATTAGATCAGTGACCACCCCAGCTATTGAACTTTGTATTCTACCAGTTTGAAGATGTTGTACGAGTCACCCAAATGGGGCTTCCATTTGTCTTTCTCTTGCTCTCTCTCTCTCTTCCTTCTTGTCCAATTCCCAGTCACAAAAGCTCATATTTTGAGTAACTTGTTGTCCCAACTGATCTTTCTTTCCCCATTTTTTTTAAAATTTTTTCCTTGTATTGTTTTATATAGAACACCTGGACAGGAAAAATCATATCCAGGTAGTATGCATGTTTATACCTTTCGAATTAAACTATGTCGTATTACGGTAAAACCAGAGATCATGTTTCACTTGACTGATTTATTAAATTTATCCTTGTTTAAGTTTTTGATATGGGAGGAATCCTTTGTTCCACGTGTTTAAAGACTTAAAAGTTATGGGAGGTAATGTTTTTAAGTGAAAAAGTCACATTAATGAGAGAGGTAGAGGTAGATACAGTTTAGGTAAGTCGTGGTAATACACGCCAAGCAACAAAAAAACTTTCTGGCCTTCAAGGTGAATCAAGGAAGCATAAATCTATCTTAACCAAAAAGAAAAGGAGCATGAATCTCACTCAAAAGCCAAATGATTCAATAGATTTTGGATCAGAAGAACCCCATCACACCTAGGATTCCAAAGTACTTACAAGAACAACAACATTATGTTTTTGTTCTCCCGGAGGGTCTCTCCAAATGCAAAAATGGGTCCTATCTCTTGCGCACAGTCTAGTGTGATAATGGGGATTAATTGTGTTACTGCATGGTTTTGCTGCCTGCCTGGCCTTTGTGCCCTCTGCCTCATCACCAGCAACTGGGACTAAAAGAGCTGCCATGTTTAGCTCACGCATGCCCTCTAAAGAAAAGGGGATGCCCCTTATATTTTAACGCGCAATTACTCTTATACCCATTAATGCCAGAAAAAAGGCCTAGAGGTCACCTGATTTGGACAAACGAAGGGGATAGAATGGTCAATTTGACGCTATCTCCATATGCTTTACGTTCGGGTTTGGAATAAATAAAGTTAAATAAAGAAAAGGGCGAAAAAGAAGAGAGGCCTTCCAAATTCCCGTTGGTGGGGTTTGCTTGAGCAACTTTCACTACACACAAGGATGTGAGAGAATAATAACAAAAGAAAGAGAGACAGAAAGGAGATAAAAATCGTCAAACACATATATGTAGTGGAATGTATAGAGATATTCATTAAGATTCCACAAACCCAACCCAAATTTGATTGATAATTGTTGTGAATTAATTTGTGGCCTTGATGCAAGAAAGAGATGCCTAAGGGATAAAAGAAAAATAATCTAAAGCTTAACATATAGCATAAGCCAAAAACATTGACAGATTGTTGGACAAGTAAAACCATTTCTCAAATGATGTAAAAGAACATATTAGTTTGCTTTTACATTTATCATTCAATCAAGCTTCTAATAATGTCTGGTTTACAAGCTGAGAGTCAATCAATTGATCGGTCGTGTTAGTTGTGGGGCATTAGAAAAGGTTGAGACTTAAGAGAAGGGCCATCTCTACTCTCTACCCCTTTGCCTTTACCACTCCAAAAGCCTTTTTAGGCTTCTCATTCTTCTAAGTGATCTTGTGGTAAGCAAAGCAATCCCTACTTTTAATACATCATGCCATTCAATTCAATCTCCTTTTAGGGTTTGGGTGTTTTATAACAGGAACAAAGGAAAAGACAGAAAGTGCCAACGTCAAGTTCAAAAGATAAATTATTATTAAAATAATAATTGAGAGAAAAAAAATTTCCTGAGTCAAGTGGGCTGGGATACTTCCTAGTCCTTGCTTGAGCTGCCCCCTCTCTCTTCCCTCTGTGGATTTCTTAGCTTTCTTTTTTGGGTTTCTCAGCCTTTTTATTTTTTCTCACCTGGACTTCATATTTTTATTTTAAGCTTTTTTTTTTGTCGAATTTACCACCCCTTCCCCTTAGTCTGCCACTGTAATCATCACCTTCTGTACTCTGTTGTCTACAGGACCCCTGCTACTGAAACTTTCTCTCTTCTCTCTCTCTCTTCTCTCAGTCTATCTGTGTATATCTTTATATACACATAAGTGGATAGAAAGGAGAGGGTTATTGGGTAGTTGGAGAGGTTTAGAGAAAAAACCATCTTATTGTCTGTATTTTCCTCTATGTTTTGATTGCATGGGAGAGGTTCTCCGCTCTTGATGGTTTTCTAAGAGAGATAGATAGGAAAGAGATATATCTGAATTGCGTTGCAGAGTTGTTCAGACAAGGAATCCATGGCTAGATAGTGACTTGGAGAATAACCCATCATCATCATACTCTTCACGAGATTTTGCTTTTGCCACCCAATGAATGATGCCTTTCTGTATCTACATGTCACCGCGCTCTCACCTGTTTAGTAACAAAGCTGTGTTTTAGTTGTGTCCAAAGCTTGGATTCTCTATTTCTGGGCTACCCTTTGCTGCTGTCTTTCTTGTTATTTCTTCAAAAGGTGCAAAGTGGTCACTCTTGAACAAGAGCTAATAAGTGGAACAAGATATCAAACAAACGAGGAGAGAGATCAGACTATTCCTCTGGGGTTTTCTCTTGTTTTTCTTTCTTGGAGTTTTCTTCTTCACAGGCATGTTTCCTGCAGCTATGTCCAATTCTACTTCTTTGTCTGAGGAAGCTAGTGTTTCTTCTGGTACAAGAGTTCAAGACTTTGGTGGCTTAAATCCTATTGTTTCAACCATTTCTCCTCAGACTCAGCCACAAAAAGTTAAGAAGAAGAGAAGCCTCCCTGGAAACCCAGGTAAGACTTTCTTCTATCTCTTACAAAATTTTTTGTTAGATTAGTTTATGTTTCATTTTTTGGTCACTGTTTGGTGCTGTTACAGACCCAGATGCTGAAGTGATTGCTTTATCTCCAAAGACGCTATTGGCTACCAACAGATTTGTATGTGAGATCTGTAACAAAGGTTTCCAGAGAGATCAGAACCTCCAGCTTCACAGAAGAGGTCATAACCTTCCATGGAAGCTGAAGCAAAGAAACAGTAAAGAGATAAAAAAAAGAGCCTATGTTTGCCCTGAGCCTACATGCGTCCACCACCATCCTTCAAGGGCTTTAGGTGATCTTACTGGCATCAAGAAACACTATTGCAGAAAACATGGAGAGAAAAAGTGGAAGTGTGAGAAATGCTCAAAGATCTATGCTGTTCAATCAGATTGGAAGGCTCACTCTAAGACCTGTGGAACAAGAGAATACAGATGTGATTGTGGAACCCTTTTCTCAAGGTAATTGTTTTATCCTTTCTTTTTCTCCTAAAAGAAAACAAATAATTGAGATGTTTGATCTCTTTGATCTTTCTAGCTTTCTGTTTTGTCACAGTTTTCCAACGTTCCCTTCTTTATAAACTTTGATGTTTCTTTTCTTTGCTATTCATCACTTTGGACTCTAATGGGATTCATAGAACTCTTGGTCTTTAGTTCAAAGTGGGAAGCCTTTGTGTCTGTAGGGCCGTTTTTTGTGTTTTGTTTAGTGGGTGTTTTTGTTTCTTTAGCTGTTCTCTTGCACAAGAGTGGTAAGCTATGGATGGAATATATCTGGAACTTAAATGCAGTGGCAGGTTTCGTTTCGTCGAAGTGGACAGCATTAATACAAGTGTCTGTTACTGGTGAACTTGCGAGAGAAACTGAAACTGAGAGCAATACCTCTGAAATCTGAAACCTGCCATGTTCATGTCTGAAAAGAACAAAAAAAAAATGATGGTAAAAGGAAAAGGAACAGTCATCATAATCTGTAGTATTTTATCGTATTGTTCATGAATCATGATTCAATAGCCATTAGGCTTGACTCGTTTTTCTTGTCTTGCATTAATATTATGCCAGCGTTCTTGACTTTTTCCCTCTTTCTCGTATTCTCCTTTACTCCCCTAGCAAGGATGAGGATCTGGGTTTTTTCTTTCATAGTGTATTAATGATAACGATAAATCAGGAATAGTACACGTTTTCTTCAATATTTTAGTCTGATAGACATGGTTTAATGTCATGCCAAATTCATGCAAGGGCATGTGTTGCTCTTTTTCCTGTGTTTTCCCCTTCGGTACATTGTAATGGAGTGGAGTGCAGTCCTAAAAACAATGATGGATATCCAAGAAAAAGCGAAAGCTAGTTTAATTATTGCTTTTGGGGTTTCATTGTTGAGAAATCCGTGACAAAATTTTCATGAAGCATTTGCCATAATTAACTTGCAGAGAAAACTGAAACTCTGAAACTTTCATCATGATGTTAAACTGATAAATCTGCAAAAAAATCTGCGGCCGATTTGTTTTCTTTTTTCCCCTCCATCATTTAGATTCATGTTTCTATTGCATATCTTTGTTACATGCATGAGCTCTATTTTGAATAGAACACTATCCATATAATTTACCAATTTCTTGAAAATTTGAGCCCCTACCTATCTTTGCATGCATACACATCAATTAACTGTCATGCATCTCTCTGTCTCTCTCTCCCCTCTACATTTGACCAAACAAAGATAAGTTTCTCCTTTGTGTTCTGTAAACTTATGACAGCAAGTCTATCCAATGCGCATGCACGATCCTAGTCTAGCTTATACCCTTTCTCTTTCTTTAATTCTTTCAATCTCAAGAGATTAATAGCCGTTTCCTTTCTTCATGCAAAGACTGCTGCAATATTATGATTAGTTCCCTTTTCTATTCCAGAAACAAGAACATGTGCAGTATGTATGATTTACTTTCCCTACGTTTAAGCAGTTACTATACAACATTCCAAACCCCTTAATCAGTCCACAATTCTGGAAGTAAACACAACTGTTTCATTCATTTCCTCTTCATTTCTTGCTAATGCAATTAACTATGACTTTGTAAACTTTCTTGTGAAACCTGCTGCAGGAAGGACAGCTTCATAACTCACAGAGCATTTTGCGATGCATTAGCTGAAGAAAGTGCAAGACTCTCAGCCAACCAACTGGCCTCCACTGCCACAATTCCAGCTCTCCATAATTTTCCATCCCAAACCAACCCCAGCCCGTCTTCTCTTTTCCCTTTCCAAACCCACATCTCCCTCAACCCATGGGACTCTACTACAACCCCAAACCCTAACCCTAATAACCCACTTCATGTCAAGCCCGAGTCTCACCATTTCTCACCATTCTACCAAGAGCAGCAGCCGCCTCGGCAGCCACCCAAGGCCCTCATCACCTCACCCTTCCAAAGCCTCCATGTCAGCAACAACCCTTCCTCCAATGCTGCCATGTCGGCCATTCCTCACTTGTCAGCCACTGCACTTCTTCAAAAGGCTGCCACCGTTGGTGCAACCGCCACGCAGATAAACAACAACAATAACAACAACATGGCGAGTCATGTCTCCCCAGATTTCATGGGTTTCGCAGCTGGAAACCTGGTCACGTGGCAGAAGAGTAGCGACCGTTTCACCAGGGACTTTCTAGGTTTGACTGGAGACCATCAACACCCCCATCACGACCATGGAGGTGGCAATGGGAATGTTAACATAAGCATGAACGTGAGGGATGTGCTAACGTACGCCGGGGGAGTGGAGTTGCAGCACCTTGAGAGAAACCACTCGTTGTTGAAGCCCCAAGGTTTTGGATTCGCTGAGCCTGCCTCGGAAACATGGGGTGATTGTTGAAGGAAAAATAAAAACCAAAGATATTGATAAAACCAGTGAAAAAAAAAAAGGGTAGAATAATAATTTAGAGATAGCCCTTTTTACAATGACAGCAGTGCCCTTCTCTACCTTAGCCAAAAGAAAGAAAATGATGGAAGAAAACAAAGAAGAGGGGAAGAAGGGCCATGATATAAGCCATAGAGTAGTCACCCTCTCCTGTTCACCAAAAAAATTTTGTAATTTGTGTTTAAATTTCCAAAAAAAGTTTAGCACTTTATAATTTGCATTTTGTTGAATCCTTGGACTGGTCTTGAATGGTAGGAAACTTGTTCATCATGAGAGATTTCCTAAGAATTTTCGGTTTTGTCCATATTTTCCTCATCATCTTTCCCAGAAAAATAAATTATTACTAGGTGTATGAACGGTGGATGGCACTAGCATTATTGCATTTTTGAAGAGGAAAAAAATGTCACATGCAAACCATATATGTAAGTACCTCTCAAATTTTCCTTTGGGGGTAATGTCCTATCTTTTTCATGACAGCTATATAGCATGGATTACAATTTACAAATTGGGAAGAAGTTAAGCTTAAAAAATCAATTTTCTGTCTATTTTTATATTTTATTTGTAATTTTACCATCTTTTTCTTTCACAATTAAGTTGCATTGTCGTGACTAGCTAAATGAGGTCGACTCCTAGAAAGAATATTCCAAGTGGAGAAAAGGACAAAGGGTTATGAATTACCATCAAGAAGTTTCATGTGTGTCTTTTACTATAAACAGGAAAAATTGAATGAATCTTGAAAATTCATTTCTTTGTTCAGTCTTCCTCTCCTACGCTCTCCTTCTAACAGTATCTTTATACAGTTAACCCTTAGTTGACCGTTCCTTTACAATATCTTTGACATTTTGAGATAAGGATCGGTTAATCCCCTTCAGCCATGGAGCCTTAGGTTCCAGATTTCTTTGTAAGTATGCATGAGGGGTCCAATTGATATGAGTAGTTCCTAACATAATTGCACTTTCTATTCATAGCTTGACATGATCGGTGTTGTGGAAATCAACTCCGAACTTCATTAATTTCCAAGAACATGGCTATGGAATTTAAATAGAAACCAGAAGTTAAGAAATGGAAGTACAACTCTTTATTCCTTATTAATTCATGAAAATAAAGTTAGGGGGTTGAATTGTTAATAAGAAGGAAGAAAGGAAGGAAGACATCTTATTATAGATTCTTTCTTTAAAGAGCATCGATGGTTATAATTTATAAGCAATCTTTTCTATATATATATATTTCCATCCAATATATGTAAGTATGCTCCCTCCACTCATCATAAAATTTCAAAATCCAAATAAAGTGGAAAGCAAGTATTAGAATCCAATACCAACAATATTCTTCTCTTTGAGCAAGTGAAGGACTGGAATTTATAGGCATGATATTTGAAAGAGGAAATGCATTGTCTGTACGCCTGAAGGAGAAAATTTGAGAAAGCGGAAGAAAGGAGAAAAAGATAAAGAAAGGAGAGAATATTCATCAACCATTCAGTCTTGCATGTGAGTATTCTCCTCTCAATGATGATGACCCTACACGTTTCCATGGAATACCATGCTTATCATGCATGCATTAGATTTACGCTTATACCCTTGGCTTAGTACTAGACTAGAGGAAAGAGAGGTGTATTGTGGGGGGGGGGGGATAAAATAGCAGAGGTAATTAAGCCAGAGCAGGGGGGTGAGGAGGAGATGAGGTCAGCATGTCGGTGGAGGGCCACACTTGTAGTCTTGGGATGACGAACGTTGCCCTTCCAGTTCCAGCTGCCAACCTAGTTGACACTGATAGCCCACATGTTTTTATCGTATCATCGACGCATGAATCAACCCACAAGCATCCATCTTCCTCGGATGCTAATTGCTAGGCTTCCTTCTGAAATGGATATTGTGTCCTATAACTATATACCCAGGAAAACCATAGCTTTCATTTGAGTATTTCCTCATCAATAACTATATCTTTTGATTTATGATTATTATATATGAATAAGTCTAATTGATTAATGATCAATGGTAACACCTAGTGCCAATACGAATATATTGCCATAAAAAAACCCGCTACAGACTCAGATTGACATTATTGTATTATACCTTAGCATTGGCATCCAAATAAAAAAATCTCAGACAAAACCCAAAAAATCTTACCTAAAATCATCATTAAATCATGAGTATTGTTTATTATTTATATATATACTCGACATGAATCACAAGTAACAAGAAATTTGAATGTTTTGAGGTGCCCGTGATGCTGAAGATTATTGCATATAAGTAATTAATATAGGTTTTCCACATTGCGGTCTACGCACCTTTTCCATCCTAAGGTGGTCATTTAGCTTCACAAGCATTCATGGAATTAGGTGTCTACCACTGATCAAGGAACGTAATTCTAAAAGCTACATAAATAACACTATTCTAATTTCAAGTCCTAACATGATATCTCACCTATTTGAAGTTGCTATATAATTTAACATTTCATTCTTTGAGAGAAAGGGTTCTCTCAACAAATACTCTATAATCAAACCTGGCTTTGTGATCTTTTCGGATAGAAAATTAATGCTTGAGCTAAAGTAAGTTACAATCGGTTAGAGATACACTAAAGTAAAATAAAGACTGCATAAGGCAAGAGGGCATGTCGTTTTGTGGGAAATTGCATATGGAAATTAGGTCCAAAGAGTTGCAAAATGTAGGTCCAATGAGAGAGCAACCTCTTGAGAAAAAAGAAGGAACCTAAAAGGAGTCGTCCAGGGAAAAAACCCAACATCTCGATCGCTATTATAGATCATTATCGAATCTATTGACTAACACAGTTAAATTGAAACCCGAAAGAGGTAACCCTCGGTAATTTCCAATTTGAACATGATTGACTGCAAGACCAGACCATTTCTTTTCACAAATTCAATCACAACACTTTTTGTTTTTTCTTTCCTCCTCAGTCCTACACTTGGAATTCCAATTAAAGAGGAATGCGTAATCAATTTCCAAGAATTCTTTTTCCAATCACTAATCTTTTGGATACTAGAAAGAATTGGATAAATATATACCAAAGAAATTATGTAGCCTTTCTAAGAAGGCGTGGGGGAGGGGCTGTAAAACCTGTTTTAAGCGTGAGTGAAAGGTTTACTAAGTGATGGTGTGTGTGAAATGTGCTGGTGTGTTGGTGGTCCGGCCGTAGTGGTACTAAAACAAGAAGAAAAAAAAAAGAAAAAAGAAAGAAAAAAGAAGGAAATGAAAGAGAGCAAAAAAAAATGTCAACGGTTGTGAAAAGATGTTGGATAGAACTTTGAAAGTTTGAATCAACATTGAGTCCTCTTTTTGGTTGATGACCCCTTTATCATTTCTGTGCACGTCCCCATATCACAGCCTTTGGTTGGCACTTAACTTGCAATTACGTCCAAATTATACACAGGCCGCTGCTTCCCTGCCTTGGATTGAATGACCCACCAATCCATTCCACCTGCATCTGATTGTTTGGGGTCTTGCTTTTTACAACCTGCTGTGTCTCCATGCAAAATTATTTGCCATGGGATCGAAGGGTAAGCATGAAATTAGACCTGTAAACAGTTAATACACCAACTCGGGTAAAAGAGAGTAGCTCAACACTGCTCAGTAACAAATGGTTTATGTGTCAATTGTTAGGAGATCAATCGAATTCATTACCACCTTACTCTTTAACCAGATGAAAAGGATACTGGCAAATCCTTGTTAGTATATTCAACGAGAGAGAGAAAAAGAGAGAGAGAGAGAGAGAGAGAGAGCCTTGGGATTAATGAAAGTAGGAGTTCAGTGCTTGTGGGTATATCCAAGCTTTTAGAAAGTATGCAAGAGTTGCAGGGTTAAGGTACAATACGTGATATACATGCCATTTGCCTACTAAAAAAGACTGCCTCTTTTTATCTCCCTCTGCTGCACAACCAGACAAACCAAAAGCTTCTCTTCTATTCCCTCTTCCACCTTTCCTCTCTCAACATACTTTGCATGTGTCATCTTCCATCAGGGAATCTCATCTCAACAAACCTTACTTTTGCCTCTTTCCTTCCTACCAATCCTAATAATTACCAAACCCTTCTTTTCTATGCTTTTCTTTTCTTTTCTTTTACCTTCTGCTGCAAATCCCCATATGGGAGCACCCACTTTTCCACAGCCCCTCAGTATTAACATTCGCACTACAAATGAACAAATGACATAGATATTTGCATGGCCTCTTCATCCTAAGTATAAAAAAGCATCTTTCTGCCGTGTTGCTTAAGCCAATAACTGTAAAAGGCCCATTGTCCTTAATACTTGCTATTTCCATCCTTAAAGCTTTAGGATTTAGCAATAGAAGCTTAGCAAAACATAGTTACAGGAAGGAGACTACAAAAAAGATATCAACGGCCGTGATAGCATCTGCTATGAGTAGAGGGGGTCCCCATTTCCTCACCACTAATAGTCATTTCTAATCAACTCATAAGCAAAACCCACAGCATTATGGCAATCTCAATGCCCATTTCAAACACAAAATAATGCAGGTTAGTATCATTGTGTGTGGGTGGTTACCCTCTAGGAAGACTGCTGTCCCTTTTCTTTATTCTCCTCAATGCACTTCAGGGTTCAAACAAGCACATAATCAATCTCAAGCTAATTACCAGATCCCCCATCATGCTTGCCATTTTCATCTGGTTCATGTACAAGAGATTATTTCCCTAAAAATGTTGTTTATGCTAGCTATGCAGCCTTAATGGAACACACTGAGACAAGGCAATAGAAGATCTTCGTTAAATCATACAACATCTAAGCATAACTGAGAGATGCTGCACTATTCAAAGTTTGTAATGATTTATATTCTACAAAATTGTTGATGACTCACATGTAAAAGTACTGACTGTGACAGAAAGCTTCTGAGATGAAATATGCATCAATTTACTATCTCGATATCACCATGGGACCAATTTTTTGAAGAAGATTGTGTCACGAGATGTCTCGTCCAACACACACTTTTGGTACATCAAAATTCCCTCCCAAGTATTTATTCAACACATTTTTGAATGCCTGCAATATAAAAGTATAAGACTAAGAATTGCAAAGTTTAGAATTTAATCTATGTTGTGAGTATGATGTATTATAAGTCAGTGAAATTTCCTATATTTTGGATTGTCAATTTTCTCTCAGCAAGATTCCAGAATCTTCAAAATGTATGCACTAAAATATTCTTTGGTAAGCTTGGAAAAAATTTATAGCCAACCTGCACATTATTATCATTGCCCTTGTGCAAACATAAATATTGTAAAACATATTAAAGCAATGAGCATATAAACCTGCTGAGGAAATAATGATGGAAAAGAATAAAGAACAAAACAAAAAGAAGTGGCGCTACAAGGAAAGTTAAAGACTCCTCTTCTTGGGGGGGATGAAGGTCTTCAAAGGTGAACTGGATCAGAAAACTATAATGAGTAAATGAATAATTTTACTTGGTGCTGTTCAGCACAGCTGTAAGAAGGGAAAGAGATACCCTCCAATAATACCGAATAGAATCATAATTTTGATGACCGCATGGAAACAAACATTAACACGATTAGGCACAATCGTCCCAAGAGAAACTTTTATTTGAAATAATCCAGAGTAGTCTGAGTAGAATCAGATGATGAACTCTTTTACATCTACAGAATCATGCAGCAGACAGGGTTTTCAACACTTTTCTCACAACTGAAAAACCTGAAAAAAGAGATTATAATTGCCGGAAGGATGGCAAGAATGAACCTAGCAAGCTTCTATGTTGTTTTCATTGTCTCATCCATCTACCAAATCTGAATCTCTTGCTGATGAAAAAAATGTGACAAATAATCTATAAAAGCAAAGAAAGGATGTAGTCAACCTTGAAAATCATTTTTTATTTCTTTGTGCAACTCCAATTAGGCCTGTCATAGCAAACCACAATGATGGACTGACTTGACAGAATTCCTCTGAAAAACCATTACACTAACCAACATGTAGTTCAGGATGAAAATTGCATTGATTCCTTCAATCAGCCCAATCCACCCACCCCCTCCCCCCCCCCCCCCCCTCTTCTCAGCACCCGCAGAAGAAACTAAACTTAAATAAAACATTTGTTGGACTTTGAATTCAAGCAGAAGGTCTTTCTTATAGAAATACTCATTGCGGATGATATCTCAAATCTCAGAAACCATAAAATGATAAATACTTATGTGCTGCTCTGAAAGAAAAAGTTTAACAAGGTCAAAGCAATACCTGGCGTGCAAATGACTCTTTCCCATTTAGAATTGCATCCATTGCTGCAAATTGGTTATCAAATACACCATAGAAGACCTGGTAGAATTTGTTCCTGAAAGCATAATTATGAATAACATAGTGATGCCAAAAACCACTACATACGTTACAAAAGAAGAACTAAATTGGAACTCCAAGAAAAATTAACATGTACCGATCTTCTTCAGTGTTCTGCTGATCTATCTCATCAAATTTTCGTGTAAGGACTTCTGCCCCGACTGGTGAAAGCAAGTGCAGTATCAGAGCTTCCAAAGTTTTGGGGAAGTTGTGCTGGAAAGTAATAGAACACGAATGTATAACTATTCCTTCATAAAAAGGCAAGAGCAACAAAGAAAAAACCAGCAAGGAAGAATGAGAAAAAGCAAGGAAAATTAATAGTAATAAGACCAGTAGAGGGCAAGTTACAATGAAATTTGATAGGTAACCCATTCATCATGCTATTGTTTTAAGTTCCTTCATGCAGAATCCAAGTTTCTTATATTTAGTTTTCCGCAAAAAGTGTTAGAACAGGACAGAAGCTTCACTTAGACAAGCACCAATTCAGTAGATGCCACCAAGATTCAACGTTATTACTTCTTCAAATTTAAAATACAAATACTACTATAGGAAGAATAGCTCAGGAAAATAATTTCCAAAATTCAAGAAAAGTTAAAATAGCATTAATGAAATTTCCAGGCACATACTGAAAGTGTAACAATGTTTATAGGAGAATGCAAACTCACAGCCATGGCAAGAAACATATCCTGCAAGATGCCTGGTTCAAGGATCCAGAGATTTTTAGCTACTGGATCATCTTCTATATGAAATATTTCAGTCGTTAAAGTCTTATGTTGCCCGTCTGTCACATAACACGTCAAACCATCTCTTGAAGTAGACAAGACTGGTTGATTTTGATCAGAAGCATTAACACGGTCGTGAACTAAAGCAACTAGTTCATGAAGAGCCTGGAGAGCATAGGGTTCCAAGTCAAGCAAAAGAAGGCTATGTTGTTGTTCTTTCCCTTTCAAATTCTTTCTTTGATTAGCCTGGTCCAAGCTATGGCCTTCATGATCTGGTTAAAAGTTATCAAGTTTAATTCACAAAGTGGCTGCAAAACGATGTCAGCAGTTTTCATTTACTTCTCAATTAAAATGAAAGCCTAAAGCATAATGCAGGGAAATAGAATATCAGATAGTTTTCTCAGCATGTTAGTTTATTTTATCTTGCTTTTGGCAAAAGTCGGCATCCTTATCCATAACTGACCTTTCTTACATGGCAGCTCAGATATATTCCTCTCCTGTCTCCACATAGCCGTAGAACCCTTCAGAAGTACTTGGTCCTGTCCTAATTTAAGAACAGAATACACGGCACATTGGTTGATGGACATGGGAAAATGAAATGGGAAGTAAACACACAGAGACTGTAGCACATGTCAGCCCACAAAAATACAGAAGAAGCCATAGAACATAAGAATAATGTAGCTTATCATATTAACAAATACTGACTAATGCATCAACTATCATGGTTCTGGTCCACACTAGTTCAAGGATCAGATGGCAAAGTTCACTGAAGATTGAATTTATTAAAATTTTATGAGATAATTTGATATATCTCACTAAGAATGTATGAGATTAAAAAAAAAAGTTCAGATAAGCACATCAAGAATTGTGTCTGCCACTGAAATTCGAGCTTTCTTTCACGATACAGCTATAACAGTTTCAACCCAAATTTCAAAGAAAACAGTTTCTTTTGCTGCAATGAGCTATTACTGCAAAGAAAAAGTTCTAAAATTACAATTCTGGAAACAGATGAAAGTTCTGAAAACTCAAAAACTAATTTGGATAGAAATCACAATCAAGAAAAGGATTCACTGACAAGCATATGGTGTATCATAGAATGTAAAAAATAAACAGACAAGAGGAGTGTTGTACCAAACAAGACTTAAAAACATAACCATAGCAGCATACATACCATTTCTCTGTCTGTCAATCTTCATAAAACAGGTTCATTCCATAAGGAACAGAAACTCACGTTAGCTTGCAATATTAATAGTGACTAACAGATTCATCTTCATAGGCAAAAAGGATAATAATAAAAAGCTGAAATATTTTAAAAGATGAGGAACCACAATTACCTCCTAAGTATTCTGCGCAAATAATATGCATCCATGTGGTCTGCCAAGCTAGATATTATGCTGGAACGCCACCAATAATTAACAGCAATTGTCAAGTCATCACTATCTACTTGGTGGAACCTGTAGCAATAGGGAAGAAAAAATCACCTAACCTGATGCTGTACAAGAAAAATGTAGTTCTAACAAGAACATATTTTCATGAGAAAATAAAAAAAAAAATTCCAATGGTTAGTGAGATTGTATTATAAACCAAACAGGCAGTGAGGGACAAAGCTAGCAACATTTAGGTTGTAAGAGTTTTCTTTGAAATTATAAGTGACCATTTACTCAATTGCACCATCAAAGAAGACATCACAAGTTACCAAATCTTTTCTAAAGCCTAAAATTCTCCTTCACAACACTTATCACTATGTCTTATTAACAGATGCCCTCACAGTATATGCTGCACTTGTTCACTATATCTTTTACGATTCTCTAGAACAGCTGTCAACAGAAAAGTCAACTCATAAAGAAAGATTCAGATATTGACTTGCACCACCAAGCAACTTTGCTTTAAGGTTTACTTTTCCCAGTGGCAATTAGCCAAGTGGCCGATATCCAAAATCAAAGGGCTTAGGCATCAAGGTATTACGGTTGGCTCCCCAGTTCAACAATTCTCTTATGGGTAAGGAGTTGTCAAAAATGGTGGGTGAGAAAAGAGGATAGATAGAAGTATTGGTTGTATCAAAATAGATTCCTTTTTTTTCCCTTCGAGTAGAACAGATTTAAGAGGATTAGATAGCTTTAAACTTCTAGGTCAAAGGAGATATAACATCCAAATGTGCAAACAGCCTGAAAGCAAGCAGTTATTAGAAAAGAGAGTGTACTCATCTTAAGAAATGGAACAACAAGAGATGATGTTTTAAGTGACCCACAAGCCCACGTAAATGGGAAAAAGCAAAGATCACATTTAACTAGGAAATATTGTTGAATGATACAGTCACTAATATCCTCGAAAGGATCACTCCTGCCTTCCATTTTCAACAAAAATCTAAATTCCACAATGAAATCACTGCTGGGAATCTCTAACTTCTAGCCTAATTGCCAGACTGAAAGCACTACAATGGGCACACGCATAATGAAATCTAAGATCATTAAAGAACTTTAATGAAGAGGGCAGATGCTCTCGGTAACTTATAACTAGGATGTACCAAACTTGAAGAGAGACAGAAAGAAAGATCAGCCTTATTCCAAAACTTAAGGGCCAATAAAAAAACAGAGACTTAAGGGAAGCCTCCTAACAATGCTGCTTTCCCACAAAAATAAGAGCTTACCAGCCTTCAGGAATGAAAAGTGCATCACCGGCATGAAGAATAACCTTCTTAGAGTATTGCATGCAATATTTTGCTCTTGGATGAACTGAAAAATCAGGGTTCTCCAAAGCCACAGAACTGCCAAGAGAGTGTTGCCTTTTGGTCAGTGCAAAGACAAAGTTAAAGAAATCAAAATTTTGCACTCAAATGAAGAAAATAAGGCAAAATTATGTTCTTGATGCAGATACACAAAGTAGCATACCTATGGTTTGAGGCCTCCCCGTATATAGGCATGGGATATAACATGGGGCTTGCAGAAGGGGGCCATAAAACAACTGCCAAGCAATATAGTTCATCAACAAAACAAAACTGACTCTGATGAGTCACTGCATAAATGCATGGATCAAGCAAGGAAGACAAGATAGGTCGAAGACCACAATCATGTTTTCTTATTTACAAACACAGCCAAGTAAAGTGGACAATCAAAGGGACCATCTTGATTTGTCAAAAGAAAAAAGGAACATCTCAGGCTAGGGTTTTTTGGGTCTGTTGTATCTCTTTACAAAGCAAACTTAAAAATTACGAGTAAGACAATGAAACTCAAACACCAACCATGAGCAACATTCCTTATTTAGTCATCCTATAAATGGCTGACATAAAAGGAAATTGTCACATCATCTTGTGCCATGCACACAAGCAATATCAATCTTCATCCACTATCCCCACAAATTTATGCTTAAATTAAAATGAATTGAGTCCATCAAAACATAAGCATTCATGCTGTGGCTTGCCAGTCCCCTTAGAGGTAACATGATTAGACAAAGAAGAAAGCTGTTTCTGATAAATGTCTAGACATTTGAACAAGAGAGAGCATTGGTGAATCATAGAGAGAAAAGAAGAAGAATAACTAACTTATGGGATCTAAGAAGATCAAGGAAGCATTGAAGATTGTTGAATTTGTCAAGAATCAAACCAACATAAAGGTCTGTGTGTGTGTGTGTGTGCATATTGATCTGGTTGTTCATCATGGCTTCCAAAAAATCTAGCAATAGCAAGAGTTCAATGTGGAAGTGACAATGAAGGTTGATGTCAAAAAATTTGATGGTAGAAAATATTTTAGTCTTTGACATGTAAAGATGAGGGCTGTTCTGATCTAACAAAGGCTGTTGAACACATTGGAGGGCAAAAGCAAGCTGCCGGCACAATGAGCAAAGGAGATAAAGAAGAATTGTCTGAGTTGTGCTTTGAGTCTGATGCAGTCGTGTCTATCAGATGAGATTATTCGGGGAGAAGCCGATGAATCAACTACTGATGCGTTATGGAAAAGCTTGAGAATATTTATTTGACTAAATTCCTTACTGACTTTACCTAAAGTGGAGGTTTTATGGGTTTTATATGAGAGAAAGTATGTTTGTGAAAGACCATCTCAATAAGCTCAAGAAAGTAATTTTTATTTGAGCAATATTGAGGTTAAAATTGAAGACGAGGATCAGTCTCTTTTACTCGTGTTCTTTTCCACCTTCATAGGAAGTTGATACTATGTTGTATGGGAGAACTTCAACATTCTTAGAGGATGTCAAAGCTTCTTTGAAATTAAAGGAGTTAAAAAACAAGGTGATGGACGAACAAGGGATACTAATGTTTGTAAGGGCCATGGGTTAGAAGCACAAGGAAAAAGGATTAGAAAGTGTGGTGATAGGGATGAGACAAAATCTAAGTCATGTTCAAAATGGATTGTGACATGTTTCCAGTGTGGAAAGAAAAGTCAAGTTAGGCGAAACTGTCCTAAACTTAAGGATGATAGGTCAAATGATGAAGCTTATACAATTAGCAGTTGCAGTTCCAAGGATGACGGTTTGGTTATTTCTGTTACCACTAGCAAGTCTAACAAGGTTGAGGTTCTAGACTCGGCATGTCCCTATCACATGTGCAGTAAGAGGGAGTGGTTTGTTACGTATGAAACCATTAATAAAATAATTTTCTTAGGTGATGATTCATATCTCAAAGTTATTTGTATTGGAGCTGTTCATTTCGAGATTTATGGTGGCACGGTGAGAGAACTGACGATTTATCATGTCTCTGGTTTGAGGCGGAATTTGTTATCTTTGAGTTTGTTAGAGGAGGTTACTTATTTTGAGTTCTCCAGGAAGGATGGTGTGCTTGATGTGTATAGCTCTCATGTTTATTTGAAGAATATTTAAATTGGAGGTCTATATCATTTTCAAAGTCTTGTAGTTGAGGAAACTAAAGGAAAATCATCTCGTAAACTGTGTTTAGATGCTTTTGTTAGAAGTGGAGTAGACTTGATGTGTAAATCATGTATGACTACATCATGTGGTACTCATGTTGGTGACTTAGAGGTTTCAGCATGGTTGAGATCTAGTCTTGCTTGCTTGGTAGGCATGGTAGATTCAAGTTATGCATGTTACTGGGGTTGCATCTAATGGAGGTTCAAGGCTTGGTGATTTGTGGATGTGGATTTCATTGCTCTTGGTGAAGAGTGTTGCATTCTAAACCTTTAAGTGATGCTTGGATTTAATGGGAGGACTACCAAATTGTGACATTGAATCCATTGTGTGCTTGGGTAAACGTAAGCATGAAAGATTCTACATGGGTTGTGTTGTGGAGAATTACACTGTTACAAAAACACTAGTTCAACACAGGTGCGGAATGGAATGCTGGTCTCTTGTTTAGAGCATGGGATGTGGTTATCTTAGTTACTCTAGGTGGATTAATTTGTGTTAAGAGTTGAAATTGATTATTCTTGCTATGTTGGTTGGTCTCCATCTAGTGCAATGGTTCTCGGAACTCCTTGTAGTTGGTTGGGTTTCTCTAGCGGACATCACTATTGTTTTCTGGTTTAAGTAATGGATGGTAAACTTAATGATAGAACTTGTATATTTCTAGACAATATAGTGGGTGTCAGAAGGTTCGAATGTAAAATCCTTCTTTGTAAGAATGTGATGAGAGAATGTAAAAGCAAAGAAGTAGTTAAGGAGTTGTTTGCACAGTGAGCTTCTCACAGTGTGTAGCAGCGAGGGAGCCTCATGTTATCTGTCTCTTGGTGGTAAAGGCATGTGGTGTTTGTCGACATGGTGCACAAACAAGTTGCCTTTGGTAAGGAGCTGTTATTTAGGAAGAGAAAACTCCACACTTTTCATTCACAATACATCACCTATATATACAGCCTACACATCTACAACATAGGAAAAGAATAAAGAAAATAAAGAAAATAAAATCCTTATAATTATGATGATTCTCAATCCCTATAATTACGTTTATTAATAAAAAAATATTTACACATTCCTATTCTATAACACTCCCCCTCACGCTACAGCATAGATGTTAATCATGCCCAGCTTGCTACGAATATAATCAACTCAAGGTCCATTCAACGCTTTCGCAAAGATATCTCCTAGTTGATCTGCAATTTTAACATATCCTGTAGAGATAAACTTCTACTGAATCTTTTCACAAACAAAATGACAATCTACTTCAATATGCTTGGTTCATTTATGAAACACGGGATTGGAGGCAATATGGAAAGTAGCTTGATTATTACACCACAGCTTTGCAGGCAAAGAAGACTTAAGACCAACTTCACTTAATAGCTGATATATCTATACTACCTCACACACAGTTTGTGCCATAGCTCTGTATTTTGATTCTGCACTAGACCTAGATACTACATTCTGCTTCTTACTTTTCCATGAGACCATATTTCCTATAACAAAAACACAATATCCCGTAGTGGATCTCCTGTCACTCTTGGAACCTGCCCAATTTGCATCTGAAAAACATTCAATATTAGTGTGTCCATGATTTTCATAAATAGACCACATCCTCGAGCCCCCTTCAAATAACATAGGTTTTGTTCCAAAGCCGCCTAATGGTTAATTGTTGGAGTAGACATAAATTGACTTACAATACTAACAAAGTATACAATATCAGGACGAGTGACCGTGAGATAATTCAATTTTCCAACCAGCCTTCTATACTTTTCAAGGTCTTCAAAC